AGTACTGGATCCCGTATCTGCCCCTTTGCATATGATTGTGGAGTTTCTCACTGGCATGTTTGAGTCGGGGAAGGCGTATCTCATCAATTTGTTCCGTTCGGCTATTTCGGCAAGACATTGAGGTATAGATGGTTCACCGGTCTGGAGACATCCTTTCGTGTGTCGTCTCCTCAAGGGGATTCACCTTACTCGACCGCCTAAAGCTAGGTTCTATGCCTTTTGGGACGTCATTGTGGTGTTACAGTCTTGGTATCCGAATCGAGATATGACGCCTAAGCAACTGTCTGCTAAGTTGGAAATGTTGTTCTGCCTGATTTCCTGCAAGTGAGTGTCAGGGCACTTAATTGGGATGCCATGACATTTACCCCAGAGGTTATCTCCAGGAAGACAAAGTCGGCCTCAAAATCCTTTGTTTACCCAAAGTTCCAGGGTTGCTGCACTCTGCCCGGTGGAATGTCTAGAGGCTACTTGATCCCTGCGTTCACTGGATCTTCACTCTTTGTTCGTTTCCTTCCACACTCCTCATCTCCTGGTGTCGACTCCTACATTGGCGCGTTGGGTTTGTTGGCTGTTATCTTTGGCAGGAATTGACACGTTGATTTTTAACCATTCAGTGCCGGGAGCCATGGCATCTAAGGCATCAGCGGTTGGTTTTTGTCTAGAGGATATTCTACGGGCTGCTGAGTGGTCGCGGGAATAGACATTCCCTGATTTCTATTTCAGACTGATTGATCACTGTGGCGGCCACCCCGTGAGAGCAGGGGTTTCCACTGCTAGAGATGTCCTTTCCCCCTAGCATGAGTGGTGATGAAATGTTCCCAAGCAGTAATCCAAGCAGTAAAGAAGCAGGTATAGGGGTTCCCTACAAGCACGAGAGGAGGCTCTGTGTTGAGGGTGAAGCTGAACTGGTTAAATGGGAGCCACAGCTGGCTTTATATACAAATCCCCATGCAAGGGGTTTCTCCTTACATATTCCAGGGGCATTCCACATTGGACCTGAGAGTAGACTGCAGAAAAGTACATACATTATTACATTATCTCTCAGGTCCAGGTAATACATCATTAACACCCCAAAAAACATCATTAACAGTGAGGTACCCCCCTAAATACTATATGCTCGGATAGCTGGTATTTGAGCGTTCGAATATAGTCGAAACGCCACCGAGGTAGAGTTTTGACTAACCGGACACAAGGCGCCTGCCAAAAAGAGTCCCATGGATTCAGGCTGTGCGGCCGGTCTCTTTCGAAAGTACCAATTTACCAATTTACACCACTCTAGTAAATCCAGGCCCGGACTGGCCATCGGGCATACCGGGCAAATGCCTGGTGGGCCGCGATGGCCGTGGGGCAGGGCCAGCGCTATCCGAGCGCCGGCCCTGCATAGTGCCTCCATGGGCCGGTGGGGAGATCAAAGATCTCCCTCACCGGCCCAGAGACAGGGAGATGCGGCCGCCAGCAGGAGAGGGAGTGAGGGAGGGAGGCAGGAGAGAGGACCGGCGGAGCTCTAACCAGCAGCTCCGCCGGGTCCTCTCGCGGGATTCTGAGCGTTGCCGTGGTTACTGTGGCAACGATCAGATCTCGCGAGAGTAAACTCTAGCCTGCAGGTTAGAGTTCACTCTCACCACTGGACCACCAGGGAAGGCAGCATGGTCCCCTCCTCCATGGATACCCGGCTCCCCACCCCCTCCCAAGGTAAGAAGGGAGAAGGGGATATAACTTTTTTTTATTATATATAAAAAAAAATATTTAAATTTAAATAAACACTCTCACACACACACACACTCACACACACAGCACCCCCAGGCACACACAGCACCCAGACACACACAGCACCCAGACACACACAGCACCCAAACACACACAGCACCCAAACACACACAGCACCCTCAGACACACACAGCACCCTCAGACACACACAGCACCCTCAGACACACACAGCACCCAGACACACACAGCACCCAGACACACACACAGCACTCAGACACACACAGCACTCAGACACACACAGCACCCTCAGACACACACCGCACCCAGACACACACAGCACCCTCAGACACACACAGCACCCAGACACACACAGCACCCACAGACACACACAGCACCCTCAGACACAAACAGCACCCTTAGACACACACAGCATCAGACACACACAGCATCCAGACACACACATCACCCCCAGACACACAGCACCCTCAGACATACACAGCACCTAGACACACACATCACCCTCAGACACACACAGCAACCCCAGACACACACAGCACCCCCCAGACACACACAGCACCCCCCAGACACACACAGCATCCAGACACACACAGCACCCCCAGACACAGCGCACACAGCACTCCCAGACACAGCGCACGCAGGCACACACACAGCGCACCCAAACACACAGACCGCACCCAGACACACACCGCACCCAGACACACACAGCACCCAAACTCACACTGCACCCCTCTTACATACACACACTGCGCCCCTCACACATACAATAAGTCCATATATATATATATACACACACACACACACACACACACACACACACACACACTACAGCACCCCGCACATTGCACCACTACACACATTATGTTCCAGATATACACTAGATCCCTTGCCCTATATGCACTCTTAATCCTTTACACACACACACACACACACACACACACTGGGTCCTTTACACAGTAGATCTCCTACACACACACACACTACATTCCTTGTCAGCAAACACATACAACATTCTCTAAACACACCCTCTCTGCAACCCCTACACACACTACGTCACCTATACACACACACTTGCTGCATCCCCTATAAAACTATGCCCCCTATACACACACTCTCTACAGCCCCTTGCCACACATATTACACCATAAACACAAATGAAATTGACCTATTTACACAATACCACACCACACTCTACACCAGGGACGTATTAGCCGCGAGGCAAACAAGGCATTTGCCTTGGGCGGCATTTTTCAGGGGGCGGCAAAAAACGCCGCCCCCCAAATGCCCAGGGCAGATGCCTTGTTAGCCTTGCGGCTAACTGACATCCCGAGTGGCTGCAGGGCGGGCGGCGCTGGCAGGCGGGCGGCCGGCGAGGGAGCTCTTCCCCTAAGCTGACTGCTCAGCTCCCTCGCGCACCGCAAAGTGAGGCTGGGAGCCGGAAGATGACGTCATCTTCCGGTTCCCAGCCTCACTCTGCAGCCGACGCGCGAGGGAGCTGAGCAGTCAGCTCAGGGGAAGAGCTCCCTCGCCGGCCGCCCGCCTGCCAGCGCCGCCCGCCCTGCAGCCACTGGACCACCAGGGAGAGAGACCCCCCCCAGCACTCCCAAAGGTAAGGAGGTTGGGGGGGGAATTTAAATTAAAAAAAAGTTAATGTGTGTGTGTGTTTGTGTCTGACTGTGTGTGTGTTTGTGTCTGACTGTGTGTGTTTGTGAGTGTGTGTTTGTGTCTGTGTATGTGTCTGACTGTGTGTGTGTGTTTGTGTCTGACTGTGTTTGTGTCTGTGTATGTGTCTGACTGTGTGTGTGTATGTGACTGTGTTTGTGTCTGACTGTGTGTGTGTGTTTCAACCACTGTGTGTGTGTGTGTGTCTGACTGTGTGTGTGTACTTGTGTCTGACTGTGTGTGTGTGTGTGTGTCTGACTGTGTGTGTGTGTGTGTGTGTGTGTGTGTGTTTGTGTCTGACTGTATGTGTCTGACTGGTTGTGTGTGTGTGTTTGTGTTCGACCTGTGTGTGTGTGTGTGTGTTTGTGTCTGACTGTGTGTGTGTGTGTGTTTGTGTATGTGTTCGACTGTGTGTGTGCTTGTGGGTTCGACTGTGTGTGTGTGTGTATTTAGAAGGTGGGGCGGGGGGAAGCGTTGGGTGGGGGTGGCGCGGGGGGGAGGGGGGCGCCTGAGTTTTGTCCTGCCTAGGGCAGCACAAAACCAGGATACACCACTGCTCTACACACACACAATCCCACAAGCAGGCTCCAAACATATGCACCATACACTTTCCTGACCCTTTTGTCCTCTGGTATCCCACTTGTGGAGACACCAGAGACAATTTAAAAGCAAACACAGCGCAAGCATGTTATTAAATTTGCTTGCGCTGCGCAGAACAAATACAGGGCCTTTTTCTAATGCCAGAGCTCTTCAGCAGGGCTCTGCACATTGAACCAACATGCTCACTTTGAGAGGGGGCGTACTTGTCATTAGTGATGACAAAACACACACTCTCTGGCCCCGCCCCCTTCTTAGGGGGCCGCTCTGATTGAAAAATGCCCGGGCCTAATTTTTTTCTCAGTCCGGCCCTGATCATGTATATGCATAATATGTTATAAAATGCTTTAATTATAATATATTATACATATACAGGAAATAAAAGTGTGTGTGTGTATATATATATATAAATATATATATATACACACACACACACACATAAAAATGATATACATTAGTATTATAATTATATATATCTATATATACACATACATACACACGTATTAGATGTGTGTGTGTGTGTGTGTGTACATATATATATATGTGTGTGTGTGCACATATGTATATATGTGTGTGTATATATATATATTATATATATAGTGCCTTGGTTTACAAAAAAATTTCACAATGCAAAGCACGTTTCCCCAGGACATACATAGGACCAGCAAACCAATCTGGCAAATCCCAATGTGCAAACATGGAAAAGGGGAAAGCCCTACCTTTGATCCCTGTAAGTTTGCAAAAACCCATAAAACCTGTACAGTGGGGGCACTGTTGTAATCAGGAGATGTTGCTGAACACATATTGGGGTGTTCTTTGTCTGTAACACATAACAGGAGCTAAGAATCCATGCCTAAGGTACAATGTGAGAGAAAAATAAAAAATAAATGACTACCCAAAAATTTGACAAAGACTGGTGGTAGAATTAGTGCATGGCAAGTGTTAAAATACCACCATTTGAAATACCCTAGGGTGTCTACTTTTCAAAAATATATGGTTTGATGGGGGTAAATTACATTGGCCAGCTTCATAAATGTCCCAAATAGAACATGGGTGCATGATGACCAGCTGTGAAAATTCCAAGTTGGAAAACTGAAATGCGCACCTTCCAAATAAGGTCTTTTAGCCCCCAGAGAACCCGACACATCTATACATGGGTGGTATCACTGTACTCAGGAGATGTTGCTGAACACATATTGGGGTGTTCTTTGGCAGTAATACCTAACAGGAGCTGAGAATCCATGTCTAAAGTGCAATATGTGTGATAAATAACACAAAAAATGACTACCCAAAAGGTTGACAAAGACTGGTTGTAGACTTAGTGCATGGAAAGTGTTAAGATAACACCATTTAAAATACCCTAGGGTGTCTACTTTTCAAAAATATATGGTTTGATGGGGGTAAATTACATTGGCGGGCTTCAAAATTTTCCCAAATAGGACATGGGTGCATGATAACCATCGGTGATAATTCCCAGTTGGTCTTTTAGCCCCCAGAGAACCCAACACACCTATACATGGGGGTTATCACTGTACTCAGGAGATGTTGCTGAACACATATCAGGGTGTTCTTTGGCAGTAATCCTTAAAGTTCTCCGTACATGTATTCTTAAATTGCTACGTGTGTCAAAAAAATAAGATTTTTTTTTTTTTTACATTTGGCATAGATTGCTGGTAAAATGGTTGCATGAAAAGAGTCAAAATACCCCAAGTTTAATACCTTAGGTTGTCTTCTTTTAAAAAAAATATATACATATGAAGCGTTATTCAGGGATTCCTAACAGATATTAGTGTTACAATGTAACACTATGGGGTCTTTCAAGATGCTGGACATCCTCATGCAAAGTCTGAGAGACAGTCACTTAACCCTGCAATGTAAACATTACAGTTTCTCTAAAACAGCAATGTTGTACATTGCAGGTTAAAAGGATAGGGACACTGCAGCCAGACCACTTCAATTAGATGAAGTAGTCTGGGTACCTACAGCTTCCTCTTAAGACATTGCCTCCTTCTCCTCCTTCAAATTTTTCTTCATAACCCACCAAAAGACCACCATGATTTGAGGATGGGTAATCTCTACCAGAGTGCAGGTGTGTCATTACAAATGACTGAGCCACTGATTAACTCACCTGGATGAAACTAGTTAACACATGAAATTCTAGTATTTTGGTAGGTCATGGGGACAAACTTGAATAAGCCAAGGAGCTTTTTCATACTTCTGAAATATGTACCAACGGTAAAAGCATATTTAGAAATGGACTTACCATTGTTGTTGAAGAGTTCGGGAAGCTATAAATTATTATGAGTGTTTCCTATTACATTTATACTGTGTGAAGTAGCAGAGGTATTACTCAGAACGTCATATATTTAGAAAGGGATGAAACATATACTGAAATATGGTACCTAGATTAAACATTTGTCTGATTATACTGTAATTTTTCCAAATCAGTATTTGTATTAAAATAATAGAATAATCCAGCCTGGGATATTTTGTGGTGATGTGGTTTATACTGAAATTAAAATAAGAATGCAAAGTGAAATATATGACATATTTTAAATCTGCAAATGATGCATGTGTTTGTTGTTCCCGCCAGCACTAATCTTTGTTAATGTGTTGACTGTTATGGGATCTCAGATTTAAGAACACATATTATATTGCTGCCTCACCAGGATCGTGCCAAGAGGGAAAACATAGCTCTCAGCAGCAAAAACAATATTTGCCCAACACACAATAAATCAGTGAGAACTATTTAATATTGTTTCTGAACAAAAAGGAGTGCCAAGGTCACATGTACCTAGGTATCTTCAATATATCATGTACAGATGGGAATCCAAATGTAGCATAATTAATAATATTATTAAATATCTTATAATAAAGATCTCATTTTGTTTTTTTATTTTGCTTACTAAATTCATGAGGACAATTTATTAACAATTCTGTGCTACAAGATGGATGCTAATTATAAATATTGCCAAGCATCCTAAAATTGTACAATGACAGAAAATTCTCTAGATGGATAAAATTCCTATCACATTGGCAATCCTTACATTTACTAAAGCCAGATGAGGTCGGAGTTCGGTCAGCCCGAACGAATCTGCAGCAATCACCTGGATGCATGTGTCCAGATTAAAATCAATTTCTTTCACATATGAATCCTATGCAAAGTATAGAATTGGGACGATTCACTGAGCACCGTATTTAATAACATTTGGTACTGAATGCATCTGGTAGGATGCAAGTTATCATTCATGTACTTTCATTCAAGGCATGCAGGCAAATCGTTAAAACCCCTGCTGCAGTGCTAGCCAACCACTGCATTAAAAAAGTGATATAAATAAAAAAAACAGTCTATTGAGGGCAATAAGAGCCCATATTACTATAATGATCTTAAATTTGCATATGCCCCTTCATGCCATGTGGAATGTGGGGGCATATCTACTAACATGTTTAAACTAGCAACTGGGCAAACAATGACAGGGAGGAACATTGTCATAGTCTCCATACCCACACTCATAGCCATCGGGTGGGGGACTTAATAAGTAATGGGGGGTGGACAGATTACTATCCCCCTGTCCTGACCTGTGGTCAGTGGGTGGTGACTTGTCATAAAATAAACGGGTGGACATCCTTATGTGTGTTCAGTAGGTGGGGGCTATTATAAAATTCAGTGGGCAGGAGCTATTGCCCATCCCTGGCCTCCCACCCATTATCAGTGCATGGGCACTCTAAATTAATAATAAATTGGAATAACCTACTTGGGTATGTTGTTAGACCCCAATCGATCTTTTGGCCTCCACATAGAAAAACTTGCATCAAAACTTTATCCAAAACTAGGTGCCCTGTACAGAAACAAATCCTGCCTAAGCCCTACAGTAAAGGTAAAGATTGTACAGCAAATGATGATGCCAATCATTGGTTATGGGGATGTAATATATGCACCTGCATAACATTATATAACTCGTTCTGCCCCTTTGTGCAATGTAATTACATGACCCACCATTGTGACATGCTAAAAGAACTAAACTGACTGTTGCTGGAATCCAGATGCACCCTTCATCTTTCCAGCCTTGTGTTTAAGAGCTTTTCTGGGAAACTCCCACCCTACCTGAGCAGAATGTTCTCCCTGGCTGTTCCCACCTCCTTTAACCTATAAATGGTGGGGTGCTAGTTTCCAACCACTGGAATTTGATCCTGCTCATTTGTGAAATACTTTGCCTCCAGCTTGTTGGACTCTGCCAACTTAATGTGTTAATATCCATATTCTATCAATAATATAGTAAGGTTGCTAATACTTACAGTGTCATGTAGTGGCAAATGTGTTTTATATTTTTAGCTATTTTATTAAAATAAAAAATAAATACTTGTATGCTTCTGACTCTCATGCCTTACCAGTAAGTAAGTTCAGTTCTAGTACATTACTTTTCTTAAGATACTTAGCCAGCTGAATCTCTTTACTCAGCAGGCATTAAGTAAAAATGGAGGCTATATCAGAGGAAATGTAGATTGGTCAACTTTACCCTCTGATGCTAGCAGCCTATGACAGGCCAGTGTCGGGATTTGAACCTGGAAACCTATCAATTCTGGTGCTGTTATGCTACCTCTGAGCCACCTCTCAGCTTTACTATTGCTGCTATCTAGCACTGGGGGCTGGACATTTAGTGGAACTACTCCTGCCACTCATGTTACACCTGAAGTTGATGTCTTGTTAGCCAGGTATATAACACTGAAGGCAGTGTCAGTTCCTTGACTCTGGTGATTGGTTTGCTGTTCTCCAGTTTGCGTTTTTATTTATTCTGACTTCTGGCATCCTCTGACCTTTGGCTTCCCATGATTATTCTCCTGCTTTATCCGTTCCTGTACCGCGACTCGGAATTATCCTGCACAGCCCCCGTGCACCAACTCACAGGCCAGGTGAATTCTTGCCTGACCACCTCGGCCTGTATTTTCTTGCAAGGGTGAGCATACATCTCTGCCTGCCGGACTCCCAACCCAGGTAAGCCCTGACACCCAGTAGGTAGGCCTGTATATTAGGGCAGCATATTTATTACCCTAAAAGGAGACTTTGGGAACAACAGGTGACTAGCAGACAGCCAATGATTCTGATTCATACAAATAGTAGGATTTAATCAGAATTTTGGGCAAAAAAAGGAATCTAGTCCTGGGGTAGGCAACCTTCGACACTCCAAATGTTGTGGACTACATCCCCCATAATGCTCTTATACCCATAATGCTGGCAAAACATCATGGGAGGTGTAGTCCAAAACATCTGCAGATCTGCAGTGCTGAAGGTTGCCTATGCCTGAGTAGTAATTTGTTTACTCTCCCTAGCAGTAATAAAGGGAGATAATAAGGGGGAGTGGAGGAAAACTGCATTACTAATAATCAAAGCAACACATATTTGATCAGACACATCTGAAAGCTGTTAGTTTACACGTTTACACACACAAACTTTTTATTTTTATTTCCGCCACCAAACAGAAAACATGCACATAGAATCGAAGATGAAGAAATGAAGGGAGATGCCCTTTACATAACCAGATTGGGACGCAAGTGATATAACATGCACTTGGCATCGAAATCAGAATAAATAAGAGGTGCAAAGCACTAAAAAATAATGACAATATACATACGAAGAAAGGACCAACTTCTAGTTAGTATATCTTAGAAAACAAGAGACAAATAATGGTGCAGTACAGTAAATAGAAATAAATAATGTTGGATAATAGTCAAAGGAATACTCACACTTTATAGAGCTATATAAGCTGTATATTAGTAGGCCTGGATGGTATAATCTCCATCTATGGATATAGCAATGGAGGTAAGCAGAGCTTATTTTCAAGTAGATATGGCCATCATATGAAAAGAGAAACAAACCATTCCAATGGTATGGTATGGTTTTTTTGTTTTTGTTTTTTTTTTTTAATAAATTTAAAAAGGATAATATCCTACTTACATAACCTTGAGCAAGAACCTGCTCTAGTATGAAGAATTTTAGGTGGGACAATCCCTACCTGAGGATGTATGCAGGAACCAGACAAGCAGCAGGGACTGGGTATAGGTAAGTACTCAAAAGACTTGGTGAAAGTATTAAAAAAAAAGTACTTTATTATAAAAGACAAAACTAGAATGCTATGGGTGAAGCACACTATAAAAATAAAGTAAAATAAAACTAGTCTATTGAAGAGTAAGTCCTCACTTGATGCGTTTTGTCGAATCTTTTTAAAAAGAAGTAGATCAGTAGTACTTATATTCCCAAGTAGGGTTAGGGTTAGATTTCGTTAATCATTCCCTTAATTTTCCCTACCTCTACTGTTTTGGCACTTCTCAGAAATGCGAAGAAATTCGGCACTTTGTAAATTCGACACTTTGTAAATTCGGCACTTTGGCTCGGCACTTTGTAAATTCGGCAATTCGGTTCGGCAATTCGGCCATTCTGAAGCATCCGAATTGCCGAAATTTAAATTTGGACCAAAACTAATTGCACACGTCTAGTCATGGCACTTCTATTCCCACAAAAAAGGAGATGTCTCCTAAAGGGTGTATGTATAGAAAAAAATATATGTACATAAAGAAAAAGAAATAAATTAAAATGGAAAAAGGTAAAGTACAAATAATGCACAAAAAAGAGAAAATTAAATCCTATGTACAAAAGATAATAGGCAGTGTCCATTCAAACTATGCCAGAAAAAGGGAAAAAACAACCTTGCAAAGGTTTGGTGTTGGTTCGATCTCACCATGCAAATAAGTCTGTCATAAGTAAATATCCTGATTAAAGATCTGTAGTGATCCATCACTTGGAGCTTGCTGGGTATAGAAGAAATTCTCAATTGCATGAAGACGGCTCTGGCACTCTTCTGAGCACAATGTCATTGGCCATATCTTTTCTGACTAAATATATGAATGTCAATGTAAGTATTGGTATAATTGAGAGTATAAGTACTACTAGGTTTCAAACCTGTATTCAGAGGGAAAACCATTTCAGTATTCTTGTGAGTTATTTGAGTAGACGAATTCCCTGCCAACTCTCCCTCCTGGTCTGATCTCTGAGATGGAGGAGCCATGTGGGTGGTCTCTGTGGTGGGCAAAATTGATCTGGTTTGGATGATGGCACCGGTTCCTGTTGAAAAGAAGGATCTAAGTTTTAATAGACTGGAAAAATTTGTACAGACTAACATTGTATTTGTGCCAATGAGTTCTATGTGTAGAGACGAATGTTAGTCCCTTGTTTAAT